ACACTTATTGATTAGGTAATCTTTATTTGTACTTATTGTGGAAATAAAGTTATTTATTTTTATATCAAGAAAATGAGAAAAAGGATGACATTTTTCTATCCGTGATAGCTCTGTCGATAAGAGTGACGTGCGTAGAACAGAAATAGAAATGGGTTCGTATCCCCTGTGGGCAGAATTTTTTAAATTTTTCATTAAATGTTTTCACCTTCAAAAATTCTTTTCATTATTTCGCAGGGGTAATATTAGGAAGCTCTCACTCTTCCTATCAACTTCAAAGTATCTTAAAACATGGCAAACAATAATAGTAGATGTCCCTTTCTCCAAACAAGCTCATCTTTTGGGGTTAAAATTCACTTGTAAGGGGGTGAGTTAGGGAGAGTATTATTTTTTTTGTGTCATCGGCTTCAACTGCTAAGGTTATTTCGCCTCGTGTTCTGTGTAGGCTTTGTTACTGTTTCCCAGCGCCACTTTAGGAACAGCACTGTTAATTAGAACCCAACAGTGAATGGTCGAGTGGGGAATCCTACCAAGGCATCAGAATTAATTTTAATTAATTAAATTAAATGAAAAAATTCCGGCTAACGGTGGGATTCGAACCTGGGACCTTTGGATCCACATGCAGAGGCTCTAACCACTGAGCCACTGAGCCACCCACCCCCTCAAGTATTATTATTAATATAAAAACTAAATCATTTTCGACATCGATATATTTGACCAAAATTACAAGTATTAATATCGTGAAACAATGTCTCTTGTTAGTTTGATTTTGTCTCAACATTAACATGATTGTGGAGTCGCTACTCATGATTCTGGTCTGTTTAAATGTGCCCATTTTCAGGTTTGTGTGAAGATTACGGTTTCTAAAATACCAAGGGGCATTAACTATGTTCCTCAGTACTTTATTCTGGAAGCTCTGTGAGTAGAGGAGATGTGGGGGTATCACAATAAGGGTTGTATTCCTAAATTAATTCTTAATTTTTTTTCTGCGTACTAAATACGAATTTCAGACTGATATACCTATCGTATTAACTTTTTAATTAATTATCTTGCAACCTTATTTTGTTCTTGTTCTTGCGCCACAGTTTTCTTCGTCTTCAAGTCCCCAGAGGCTCTTTTAACGTTTCTTTGGTCTCCCCTGCCCTCCAAACCGTCGGACAAGATAATTCTATTGAATGATTTTTTGAAGATTATGTTGCAAAAGTGTTCTGATATCCCCACATTTTATCTAATTATGTGGTATTCCTAAGTTATCCTTGTTGACATATTCCTACAGCTGAATGTATACACTAGGCTAAGGACCTGTTTATACAGGAGTAATTTGTTAAAATAATGATTAATTTCGTAAAACTCATTAATATTAGATAATAAAAGGGTTTTTTTACGTATATACACTTAACTGTAAAGTACAAATGGCTTTTTTTACAGAAGGTCTTTTATTTTTTATTCTATCGCTTTGTAAACATTCATTCAGACGATCATTAGCGATAAAAAGGCAACTATCGATCGTCGATGATAAATAACGAGAATATAAGTAGGTGTGTATTGTTCCGGTTTAAATAAAAAGCTTTCAATACAATTTTAAATAAAGCCGGTGTTGTTGTCAGCTTATCACAAAGCATATAATTTGATATTTTGTGAAGTTTAATTAAAACTGTATGGTGTTTTTATATAAAACACAATAATTTTAAAATTGTATGATATTACGCCAATATTGATTTTTTTCCTAGCTTTTATTTTCATCAGTTTTCATGTTTCATATTTTTTTTTTAAATCAGTTCGGTTAATAATAATTTAAAAATATCACGTTGTCAAGATTTTATTTATAATTAGATAGTTAAAAACTATACTTACTGTCAAAGAGTTTTGTTTAAATATTATACACCAAGGGACTGAAGTGTCACTTTTTATCCCGGAAGGCTATAATTCTTTGACAGATAAAGGACACTTCAGTCACGTGATTCATACGTTATTTTATGCACTTTAGAAATGACGATGTCATTGCAAGGTTGTTATAGTGCTGACGTATATTGTATTTTGTACTGTATTTTTGGTTGTAGGGTATTAAGTATATTTGTATTTGTAATCCCTGTGGAGCAAAAGTGCTAATAAGTAGGTATATTGTACTTTTAATCTAACTTTTACTCCCTAGGTATTAAAAGTTCATTTTTAAGTTATATTTTTATATATTTTATACAGTTTACTGTGATCATTTTATTAAAAAAGCCTGTTTTTGGTACATGATGAAGGTAGGTAATTAAAGTCCTACTTTAAACAATACAAGAACGGATCAGTGGACGGGCCACTCTATAAAAAAATGATTCGATAAAGAACCGCGACCTCATTTAATAGTTAGAACCTTTATTGGGTAATTGTATTGCAAAATATCTACGACTATGGAATGTGACGTTTAATTTTTACCAAGTTCAAACAAGTATTAAAAACTAAAAATTTTAAAAAACCGACTTCAAAATCGTGTAGATGCTATCAAAATATTTTAACCAAATTTATATAGGACCACGCCTGAGGTACCCCCTTATTAACAAAAAAATAATCATAGAAATCGAACAAGGTGGTAAAAAGTTATCGCTAAACATACATAAAAACTGTAGAGTTTGAGGATTTTCTGATGGATCCAATTTTTAGATTTTGACCAAATCTATATGGGACCACCACTAAGGTACCCCCTTTCTATCAAATAGAGAATTATACAAATCGGACAAGGTGGTAAAGCATTATCGCTAAACATACATAAAAAATTAAGAAATTGAGGATTTTCTCATGGACCCAATTATTAGATTTTGACCAAATTTATATGGGACCACCCCTAAAGTTTCCTCTTTCTAACAAAAAAAGAATCACTGAAATCAGACACCATGTTTTTTTCCCTCTTGGGCTCGTCTGACTATGTGTCTCCGAATAACACTGAAGCCTATTGGCTTATTGTGTTTTACCCCATGTTAGTTCATAGCACCCACTCTGTTATACCATGTTAAAGAATTGTCCGATTTCTATGATTCTTTTTTGTTAGTAAGGGGGTACCTCAGGGGTGGTCCCATATAAATTTGGTTAAGATATTTTCATAGCATCTGCACGATTTTGAGGTCGGTTTTTTAAAGTTACTTTTAATACTTGTCACTTTTCCTGTCCTCTTTTCTCTAAAGACTATAATACTGTCAATGACCAAATCAGCGTAAGCTAGAAAATGACGTAATTAAAATGATGACGTTTCGTTTGTAGATAATTAATTTTCACATGCACGTTAGCGTGTACCTCGGCACAATGTTAAAGCTCAATAACACATTTTTTGTCATTTATCTGTTACAATATTTATTTGAGTTTTGAGTATTTTAAAAACGAAAGACACTATAGAAGTAAAAATTAGTATTTACTCTTTACACTACAAATCAGAAGAAATCCTTGATTACAAAAAATTACACCAAATTTTATGATAGAAAATAAAAGATAGGTTCATAAAAACATTGGATTCAACCTATGAAGAAAAACTACTGGACTAATCCATTTATTTATAATTGTTTACTTGAAAATACTCAGCTCAAGTTTTATGTCAAGCAGATAGAGCTGTTGCCTCTGCTGCAGATGGTTTGTATCAGCTCTCGTTTTATAAATGAACCAACTAGTACAACTAGAGCTACATTAATAAATAAATGGTGTACTCTCCTGTAGATCACCTTCAGCTTCAATAAATAATAGTTACAATCAGAAGAAGACAATAAACTGTTTATAACTGATGACACTAAGAATGCAAATATACTTCCTTAATGCAATTTCAAAGATTTTGTTTATTTAAGTCACTTCTGAGTGAAGTTGAAAGTAACTATTTGCTGATTAAACTATAGGGCCATTGTTTGTTAAAATGTCAAGTCAACCTAAATGTAACTTTACTCAGAGGCGAAAAGATTGGCCCTTAGAGTAAATTCTGAATTATAACTATAAACCTTGTATAAAGACTCTCTCGTAACAATTTGTCAACTATGTCAATAACACCGTAAATGCTTACAATATATTTATTGTATAATAGCTGTTTGATGTTAATATCCATGCTTGTCTGTTTCGCACATATATTCAGGTTTTTACATGAATATTGACACTTGAATTGCTAACAATAATATTGTAATGGTTCCACTCTGGACAGATATAACTATTCCAATATTCTAGAGCACTTATACTTGAATACAAGATTTAAATTCAAATAAAAGAAATTCTTCGACTCTCTTTTTTCTCCCGATATTGCCCGTCTGGTTTCCTTTTCTTGTTTTCCTCTATTTTATCCTCCTTTAGTCCAACTCTTCTTCCTGCAATCTGACTCACCTCAAATTAAACTTATTTTACTATTTTATCTTTTTATTTAACTTCCAAACTCTCTTTAACTATCTTTTAATTCTTATGATACTAATAATATTTTATTTTCGAATGGACAATCTACAAACTCCTTTGATAATTATTCCATCCACGGTCTTAATTAAATTTCTAATATCCCACTACCATTGCCGTCAGAAAGAACGAAAAGATCATATGAAGGAATTGTGACAAATACATTTATAGTTTGACTTCTCCACTAATTTAATGTTTACTGTTGTGTGGTGTGTTAAATAAATAATAAAAAGTGGAAGACCTAGTAAGTATGGGTTGTTTAAAAGCACCTCGGTGTTTCTTTTACAATAAATTATAATTATTAATAAGTGAAATATGTAAATATATTTTCAGATTAGATTTAGTGTCCCTCCTCAGCCCCCTTGTGGTTAAAAAATATATCATTCTCCATGAAATCCCCAAAAATTGGCTTCTATTATAAATGTATGTCAAGTTTTATTGGATTTACCCACATTTACCGGTTTTTCATCGACAAAAATTAGGAATAATTGGCAATGACCATAACCTACATGTGACACAGAATAAATAATTTACACACGACATAACATTTATTCATATTACAATGTCATGCGCTTGAAGACCGTTTAGATTTGTCGACGATCACAACACTGAAAAGCGAAAAACGCCACAATTAGAATGAAAGTGACTTTCCCAGATGGTGGATCTGGAAAAATGAAAAGTGGTGTTAAAGAAAAACCGCCAACGAGATGGGTATTGCTGAAATTTTTTTGGCGGGTTTGTGTTTAAATGCTACATGTGATGATGATTGTAAGTACTTAATTTTTTATTGCTAATTTATATCATGAAAGAAAATTCAAAAAAAAGTAAAGTTGATTATAAAATTTTTTCAATATTTGTGCAGGTACTTTATCCCACAATAGTATCTATATTGCGACCGGTTTCGAAATTTACGTTAACTTCATCTTCAGGCAATCTAAAGGACCTCGCACAAGACAATAATTATTAAATACAAAAGTACATTTAATAAAAAACTTTATATATCTAAAATATCGTAGAGAATCTTAAAACGAAAACAATTTTGCTTCTTCTCTTTAACTAACTTTATCCTTTTTAAGCTTAGATACTTTTAAATGCCGAAATAATTCTACTTACTTGAATAAATGATTCAGAAGACATATTCTTATTTAAAAATTTGTTTATTAGGAATTTTTTGATATTTTTGCCAGAAAACTTTCTGTGTAGCCTTCGTTTTTGCCATAATTGATGACAGCATTTTATTCTTATTGAAAATAATAATTGGTTACAGTAATAAAAAAAAGGGACGATAGTTTTTAATTAAAGATGAAAGTAATAATTCAGTCAAAATCTAAAAAATTTGTAGTAGTTTTCCATAGGTCAAGATTTAGATTTCCTGAAATGCCATTATCAGTTAATGAAAAATTTTCCTTCTGAACGTATTTAAATTTGAACAAATTTTCACAGTACCCAAAATCAATATAAAAAGCTTAGTCAATTTATTGTTTTTTGGACTAAAAATAAAAATTGACACACTTATGAGTACCAAAACATATTACATTTTTGATTAAACTATCATTGACAATTTAATAAACATCTACTTACGGGCGGCATACAAAATTATCCAAAAAAAAATATTTAAAAACATTTTTAACTATGTAACTTGCCACTATGCATTTTCCATAAAATACATATCATTTTAAACCTAGCAATCAGGAAAACTAAACATTATTTTGAAGTGTGATATATTTCATTATTTTGCCGTGTTCATGTTAGGGGTTGTACTAAAAAAAAAATGTGTAAATATATTTTCATGGACAAAATGGAATAAATTATTTACTTAAAAAATTACGATCGGTATACCTCAAACAGTTATGTGATGTGGCGATTATAATTTTTTTTCATAAATACAATTTAGTATTCATAATAACATAAATGTTAACGGTTAATATATTCGTGTATTTTTTTGGAATGATGAAAAACTACCCTAAATTATTATCGCACAATATAGTGAAGGAAAATTCTGTTCTGAAAATATCCAGTTTTTCAGTAGGAAACATTGTGAAACATAATGGCCCAACAGGATCAACTAAACATATTGCAATATCATATTACTTTTTATTGGAGAAACTTCAATAATTGCAAGGATATAAAAAGTATTTCTAAAGAAAATATCCTTTTTGAAAAAATAAATTAAAAATTTTTAGCGTAGGCTCTTAATAGTTCACCAAATTTTTATTGAGACATTTTTGTTTAATACACTTACAACTAATTACAAAAATTATTAAAATCGATCTCTTTCAATACGCAAAAATATATTTTATTTTAAACTTTCTAGACGATCTTGGATATAGATTGTATCCCAACCTTTTAGAGATACCCTGTATATATATAAAACCTTCTGTTTTAGATATACCCAGCACTTCTATTAAATTATTAAGATTCGCTAAGTTAGAACAAGAACTTCAGACAGAAACTTTAGTTATTACCACCTTACAGGTAAGTGCTAACTAAGATATAGAAAATATAATTTAAAATTTCATATCTTTCTGTTATATATTTTATTCGTGAAACAACACGGTTTTTTTTGCTTCCAATTTATCTACATTTTAGTATTGGTATTGAAAATACTTCTTAGAGAGTTATTAACGTTCTGTTGAGTACAGTCATTGCTTACTACTGTAAGATAGAGACATTTTTATCTGTATTATTGATTCTATCTTTTTATTCGTATTTGTATAAAACTACTGCTCCTCTTCATACAGTTTATTTTAAAACTATAAACCTTAATTCTCGACGCAAGTTTTTAATTACATAAATGCATATAAATAGTGCACCTTCAGCGACAAATAGCCAGAAGCTACTTTGCCAATATGTTAAAATTAAAAACATATTGTCTAAGGATCCCCATTTGATCAAGTATTTAGAGTTAAACAACGAGCTCCTTTACTTTTTATTTGTAATATCTTAAATTTTACGTTACTTTCTGCAACCACAGAGCAAATCTCTTTCGCAGACCTAATGTTAAAATTAATTACAAAATATATTTTCTTAAATTTTAATAAACTTACGAGTATTTTAAAAACAATACCTTAATATTTTTGAAATTATTTATTACTTCTATAATTTTTTTATATTTTATGTTTAAGAATGGAGAATTAAGCGGTTATGAAACAGTAAACGACACTGTAGTTGGAACTGGGATTGCATTTGATATCATCAAGATTCTCCAAGATAAATATAAATTTAACTATACCATAGTTTTACCAGAAGATGACACGTTTCTGGGAGAACAATCCCAAAAGACTGCTAAAAAGCTACTGGAAACAAAGGTAATGTTGCGTTAAAAGTGGAAATGTTAACAATATAGTAGACGTAGATATATAATTTTTATGTTGACGTTCGCATTGTGATATATGTGGACAACTTAATTTTTTAAATAACTAAAGGCATTTTTTTAATCTGTGTGTACCTATTTCACCTAGCTATACTTAGTAATTTGTCTTTATATTGTACTTAAAGCAAGTAAAGTAGCTTAAACCTGAGTTCACCCAATAGTATACCTTTTCCTTTCTGTTCTAATGTTCAAACTTCTGAACTATGCACTGCATTTGCCCACTGTGTTTTTACCCAATTTTACATCACTAAATCAAATGATTTGGTCCTTTTGAGTCTTCTCACTTGGTAGTTGTTTTCCAGGAGCTGTAAAACTTTAACTCGCACCCGTTTAAAAATCCAAATTTCGACTCAGCATGGAAAATATTAAATCGTTTGCCCTTAGTCTTGATTTTTAAAGGATTACTCTTTGATTCCGATTCATATACCCATTGACGATGCCGTGATCCACTCTAATAGATCCAAGTTTCATCAACTTACAAAAATACTTTTTCCCTTTTTAATACACACAGAAGTTTGTGGGCTATTGATGTTAAATATATTGAATTCTGGCTAAAAAATATCTTCAAGTCTTAATCATTGAAATTCATAATTCTTATTGTAATTAAGATTCGTTTAAAAAAAGTATTTATTGAATGCTTAATGGATAATGCTTTATGATAATTCTTCTTCTTTTTCTGTATTTTCCATTGCATCTGGCCTGGATTAAGATGGTTTCACTCCTCTGTCCATGCTCTTCAGGATTTAATATATGAAGTACAATTTCGCCTCACGATTAATCCTTGAATTCCTGTATAAATCTAATGCGAATTCAATTAAATCGAATAATCTTCTTCTTTCTTCTTTTTGCTGACCTTTATTGCATAATGTTTTATTAAAAGTTGTATTTGGAATAACTGTAACAGACTTGTATAGCAAGTTCATATAAAAAAGAGTATAGATAAATATTTGCTTAGAAGTAAGAACATCATTTTCAATTTACTATTTTAGTTTTAAATAATTATTTAAATCTTTTTTCCAGAAAGTTGATTTGGCCGTTGCCTTTCTTCCTATAATAGAAAACATCAGAAACGAAATCGTCTACTCAACCAGTTTTGATGTTGCCGAATGGGCAGTCTTGATGAACAGACCTGATGAATCCGCTACTGGATCTGGATTGTTGGCACCTTTTACAACTCAAGTGTGGATTTTGATCATATTCTCCATTCTCGTCGTAGGACCAATCATTTTTTTGATGGTATTACTTCGTGCACGTTTGTGTAGAGATGATAAAAGTGAGGTTTATTCATTGTCAACTTGTTTATGGTTTGTCTATGGAGCGTTACTCAAGCAGGGCTCCACTGTTAATCCAAGAACAGGTTGGTTTACACATTTTTAAAATTTTTATACAGATTTTTGTCTACATAGGATCATTAGCTTTGTTATTTTAATACTCTATGCTAATTACTTAGGCTAACTTGATACATTTTGTCCGTAAAGTTGTAAAATGAAATTGTTTATTTTACATTTTTTTGATGTCATATTTCTGTCAAGGCGGTAACGAAATTTGAGATTATTTTTAAATAGAAGAAGGCATCTTAGTTAAACAATTACAATTCAAATAGGTTACATGTTGTGGAGAGTTAAGACTGGGATACTTTTTTAATTATATGTTTAAAGGTTATTTCCTAATGAATATTTGCGTGTGGCTTAGTACCACCAAATTTGATTGTTTCTTTTTACCAAGTTCTGATGATAACCTTTGTGTCGAAACTAGTAGGCGTCATATAATTTATGAAGTACAGATTTTCAGTATTATTTTTATTTACAAATTCATTTATCCGACTTCATTGATGAGGACTGACATTCGTCAGTCATATTGATAAAACCCACTTAATTTGCAGTATCACCTTCTTCAGCCATAAACTCTTCTTTAAAAAATTTTAATATATTAACTTGTTTTTTGTTTTTAGATTCTTCACGTCTTTTATTTTCAACATGGTGGTTGTTTATCTTAATTTTAACAGCTTTTTATACAGCAAATTTGACCGCTTTCTTGACTCTCTCAAAATTTACACTACCTATCACTACGCCAGAGGAAATTGGCAAGAAGCATTATAGTTGGGTCACGAATAGAGGAAATCCGGTTAGGGATAAAATAATTTCAGAAAAAAATGATGAGCACATCTATCAAGATAAATTAATTAAGACAATTGGTAATTTGAAAGTTTTTGCGAATCATTCAGGTAAGTTCTAAAATGTATTATTTTATTTTGTTGTCACAATATCACAAATTATCCAATAAAAAATAAATAAAATTATGTTTCATAAATACTGGAATATAAGGGGCAATAATATGTATTGTAAGTAAACGTATATTGTAGATTATAATGAATTATTTTTTTTTTCATTTTCAGATATGAATATACTGAATACATTCGTCAAAAAAAGGAAGATGATGTTCATAAGAGAGAAAACTGTAATAAATCATATAATGTATCAAGATTATAGAGAGAAAGCTAAAAATGGCGTTGAAGAAGAACATCGATGCACTTTTGTTGTTGCTAAGTTCCCAATTACAAAATTTTCAAGAGCTTTCGCTTATTCGAAAGATTTTAAATACGTAGAATTATTTGATTACGCGTAAGTTATCTTCAAAAGTAACATATAGTAATAATTTTTTGATCAAATTGCTACGAATCACTGCCACTTTTACTTGTGGCTTGTATTTATAAAACATAATATGCCTTTTCGTCAAATTAGGTTAGAACTGAGTGAGATAATGCCATCTTCTTCGACTGCAGTCTTACAGCATACTTGAACTAAAGTTTACCGTATAATCTACACTTTCAAATAACAGCATTAATTGAGTTATATGAGACTTATCTAAATTATTTGGTGGCAAGTTTGGCATTTAAATGCATATATCTCAATGGTTGCATGTCTTTACTACACTAATTTTTCATCTTCCGTTCTGTTATTCAGTTCGGATTCCCAGGTGAGGTTTTTATCTAGAAAAAATCCCAGATATAACACCTTCTTTAAAAATCTGATGTGTCCAACACATGACTTTCCTATCTAGTTATTACATGCTTTTTCCGATTATTTTGTACAACCTATTGCAGCACCTCCATAAATGTTTAGAGGATAAAATAAATATATACATTTTCCACATACATCTACCTCGAAACATTTTTCTATAGATATTCATTGAAAATGAAAATACTGAAAAATTTAAATTTAGCACTTTTCCTACAATTTTTCCATTACGGTCCATTTTAGAAAAATAATATATAAACAAAAATTATAGAGATCGATATCGCAAACAACTTTTATTTCAACAATTTTCATAAAAATCAGAATTTTGCACATTTTGTCAAATTTCTCGAATACAGACTATTTCAGGAAATTTTGACATAAGGCAAAAATTATAATAATATTAGAAATAACTTTTATTTGAACAATTTTTTTCTCCAAACATAAATAACAGATATATTCCATAAAATATAAAAACGGCCCCCCATAAAGTTCCCCCCAAATGTTCCGACTTTGTCCAAAATCTAATCATTTCACTTGAGGCCAAAATAAAACTTAAGTTTAAAATTTAATCTTTTTTTCTTCATCGGTTTTTGAGTTTTCTTCAAATTTCGAAATTTACACATTTTCTCAAATACCTCGAATAAGGGCCATTTTAGAGAAATTATGTAAAGGATAAAAATTATAGAGAATTATATTACAAACAACTTTTGTTTGAACAATTTTTATAAAAAAATATTTTTTTACATTTTGTCAAATTTCTCGAATACGGACCATTTTAGGAAAATTTTGTATAGAACAAAAATTTTAGATAATAATATAAGAAGTAACTTTTATTTGAAGAATTTTCTTCCACAAACGTAAATAACACATATATTCCATAAAATATAAAAATGACCACCTATAAGTACCCCCCAGATGTTCCGACACTGCCCAAAATCTAATCAGCACATTGGACGCTGGAACAAAGCTTAAGTTTGAAATTTGGTGTTTTATGTGTATCGGTTCATGAGTTATGCGACACACAGACACACACAGGCACACAGACACACAGACACACAGACACACACACAGACATCATCGCGAAAATAGTCAAAACGGATTCAGGGGACCTCAAAACGTAAAAATCCATCGAAAACTCGAGGTCGAAAAAAATCATGATTCCTATACTTTCCTTATATCTGTATACAGATAGGAAAGTAAAAAGGAATAGTTACTTTTTCCCCTTTTAACCATGTTTAGAGCCTATTAAAAGATATTGGTGATTGCTTCTTCATACTTTCCATTTTATCTTGTAGAATTCTTCTTCTCGTTGATGAAATTATATTCCTATTTCCAATTACACTTTTGATACAATTGAAAATCAGGTAGCCAATTCCGATTTCTTTTATAAAGGAGAACAAAGACTGAGAATGGAAATTGAATACATCTTCTAGATCTCTATGCCTATTAATGTTTGCCAGGTACCTATCGATTTGCTCATAAATGGTATGGATTAAGCGGGCTCTTTCAAACTCTTTTTATAAATACATGGTTCTAAATGTCTAAATTTAATTTTGTAAATACACGGACTCATTTTTATCGTTTTTTAGTATCCAAAGGCTAATAGAAGGCGGAATAATCGAATTCAAGCTGAATGAAAATCTCCCAGATGCGCAAATATGTCCGCTCGATTTAGGCAGCACAGAACGTAAATTAAGAAACACAGATCTTCTCCTTACTTACATTTTAGTTGGAGGAGGCCTAGCGGTTGCATTGTGCGTTTTTCTCATGGAGATCTTATGGAGAGTATGTCAGAGAAGAAACAAACAGAAGAAAAAAAGAAAACCGCATCAAACTCATTTTCTTGCGAATAATTACAATGCAATCATTAAGACAGGTCTGTCTAACTTGACACCTCCTCCGTCTTATCAGACGCTTTTCAAGCCGCCGTTTTATTTCAAAGATGAGGGCGGAAAAAAGACCAATATCAACGGTAGGGATTATTGGATAGTGAATGGAAAGAACGGTTTTAGACAAATGATACCCTTACGCACCCCTTCAGCTTTGCTTTTTCAATTTTCGAATTAAGCACTTGTGTTTTGTTTGAAATAAATACATAATGTTGGTGTTACCGTTGTTTTACTACATATTTAGGAAGGTTTATAATAAATTATTAATAAAACGTTACTGTAATGAAACTGAACGCTAAAATAAATAACTAAATACAGCTCGCTGTTTGTAAAAGGTATTTAAATACCGATCACCGTTAAGCTGTGCGAGCCAGGTCATCTTTTGGATGAATTACAGTTCGTAAAGCTAAAGCTAGAGTGTGGATTTTATGAGAAGGAGTAGGATAACCAAATGTAGGGATATTATAGTCCTTTATCTGACTGCAAATAGTGAAGAAAAATCTTAATGAAACAGCTACTACAACTGTAAAAATCTATATTTAACAAAGTGTATTAAAAAAACAATTAACCTATATTTTAAATTTTATAAAAAAATATTAAATTTCCTCACTGGACTCTTAATTTTCTGTTGTACCATCCTTGATACACCTAGAATGTTTTTATTGACTTTTCATTCTCAGATACTGGTGTCTATCCTGTAACACATCCGTTAAAATTTAGAGGCTTGTTAAAAATTATTTATTTTAACGGATTCCCTTAGAAATGGCAGGAAAACACTTAACAACATCACATTTAAGATTTATTTGAACTAGTTTGAAAACATAACCATACAAATCCTCAATTTTCAATTCAAAACCATTAAAAATTAAAGGCGAACTTTAACATCTCTTTAAAAATGATTGTTATCTGAGGACTATTTTAAAGGAATCCGTTTAAATAATAACAGAAGTAAGTTAGTGAATACAAAAATATTTTTAAAGGCCGCCAATCTTTTAACGGCCGTTAAAATATAAAGGAAGTGTTACATAATAGACCCCACTCAATTGTAAAAAAGAAATCTGTTTCACATTTTATACAAAAGGGATATTTTAAAATTTTGGTAATAAAAAGAACAATTTATTGTCTAAACAAAATAGAAAATATAACTGAAATTATACAGATTACATAATTTGTTGTTTTTGAATTTGCCCCATCACCCGGTGGTGGACTGAGAGTAGTAGTTGTTGTTGTTGTTGTAGTGGTACCTCCTTCATTGGTAATATTTAGCATGTGCTCTATCAACGGTTTATTGACATATTTATTTACATCTTTAGCCAATACGTAATCTAGATGATTGAACAATTTGTATTCAATCAGCACTTTTTTAACAACATTTGGTAATTCTTTCGAAAGCCTTTCTACTGCCTAAAAATAATAAAATATTTAGTTCGGTTAGAAATACTATCTCTGGAAATACTAGTAAAATAATTATCGTTAATTAAGTTGCGTCTAGCGCCAGCGCTGTGGACGTAGATTGAGCAATTTCAACACATCGAAGCTTTTATACTTTCCATGGATAAAAACATATATCGCTGAGTTGCTAGCTACACTGCGATGAGTGCGATGACAAAACAATGCGAGTACAACGCACAAACAGAAAATAGAAACTTACCAAAGTAATGTATCTATCCACGCACATCGCCGTACAACTTCCCATAAATTGAGAAACAAGAAAAGGGACGACGTAAATTGCTCCACTAGGGTTTTATACTAATAATTCTAAGAATAAAACAATAACTTATGTATGCTACCGAAAATTGGATACTACAAAAAAAATATGAGGCAAAAATAAATGGAAAGGATATGAAATATTTGAGAAATAATAGGGAAAAAAATTAATGGAACTGAGTAAGGAATTATTATTATTATTATTATTATTTTAATTATGAATTGATAAAGGATGAGGACATGTCTTATGATAGCCTTAAAACAAAATAAAAAATAAGAACTAAGTAATACAAAAAGAAGAGAACACTAAAAATGTTAAACAAACACTAATGTGAGTTATTTTTAAAGACGTTAATTGTTGTATCATCAATAACATCATTTTGAGATCATTCCATACATTAAATATACGATTGGAAAGATTTTATTGTTTGTACTTCGTTTTCAGGTTTTTCCTTTTTAATTTTAGTTCATGACCACTTTGACGATAGTCAGTATTTAATACTAAGATGAAGATGAGATAAAAGAACAATAACTAAACAGAAACCAATAGTAACAAAGATAAGAAAGAAACAAATAAATTGGTATGGTTACTTGGTAAAAATGGACCTAGACAGAATAGCTAGAAATGTAATAGAAATAGAAAAATATGAAAAGCTCAGGAGGGAATGGATTAACTAGATCAAAGAGATCGGAATTCATAATAAAGGAAAAACGTTGATGGAGGTAAAGATAATAGTGAAGAACAGAAAAAAATTTTAAAAAATGGGTACAGAAAGAGGACGAATCTCAATCTGAAACCGGAAAAGGCAGAAGGATATATAAAATGACTTAAGTACGTCGATAAATATTAACAAAATGTAACAAAAAGGTAGGTTATAAGATATACCTTTCCAATATCGCATGGAGGCGTTTAGACTGGCCTTCAAACAGCAAAAAAGCACGCAAGTGATGCAGGCATTGCTTTACGTCATACCCACAATCTACAATAATTCGATAGTTCAATATATCCAATATAATGTCGTTACTAATTCTAAAATTCCACTAAAGAAATATAATAAACAAATGTACTTACCTCAATTGGTACCAAAAAATCGTTTTCAGAATAGTACAATGCAATCGGAGCCGTTATATCGGAAATGGTGAAATTTGGTGGAATAGCACTTCCATAGTGTTTCATATTGAGCTCAGATCCATAATCATATCTTTGAAAATAACCTAAAAAAGTATATGTAATTATCAGAAGACGAAATAAAAGTGTCGCAATGAAAATTTGTATAAAAAATGATGACAACTTTAATATATTTGATTATTAACTATATTTTCTATAATACTAGCTTTGAAACTGGATTTTTGTACGTTTGTCAATGTTAGCAAAATGTCTACAGCTTTCGAAAAGAAATACTTTTCTACCATAGGGAAAAGTATAAATAAATAGTATAAGAAAAAGTGAAAAATAATTTTGTCCAAAAATTATTGATCCAGTTTGACGTCTATTTTATACTATTAATATTCTGCAAAATTAGCTACAGCTACAATAATAGTTGCAACTAGTAAAAAACGTTAAACTTATAACAACTAACATTAAGACATAAACTTGCTCAACATAATTTTGAGAGCCTTTTGCTGAGTAAATTTTGAATTATAACCAGAAACAATCTTTGCAGATTCACACTTCCATGATAATTTGACACCTATGTGGATAACAATGTGAAGGCTTGCAATTCGGCTTTTGTAAATAAGTAGTTGTTCGTCGTTATATAAAACTTATTGGACAGTAACACTAGTAACTAGAGAAAATTTTAATTATAAACACACACCAAACAGGAATTCAACAACTAAATAATGTGATTATGAAATATAAATTTTTGATTTTAGATGATTTTCTAAACAGTAATATTACTAGCAGTATCAAAAATGTCATATACATTATATAACACTTTTCTGTAAATTACGCCTAGTAACATCATTACAAAAATAACTATTCAATAGATGCGGTATTATTAAAGTACCTTTTTTACGTTATACATTAATAATGTTTTTCAGTTTTTGAATTATTTGTAAATAATAAAAATTGATTATTTTTAAATAATGTTTTTACCTGATTTAATATTTTGTCCATAATGTAATAACATGTTTTTTGATATGCCATTTGGAGTTTGTGTCATATACACAGATAACATTGACTAAAATAAAAAAAAAAATCTTAAAAGAAATTATCATTTTTTCTGATGTAAATAAATGTAAATGTAAATAAAACATATAACTTCTATTTCAATAATTTTCTTGATCAGATAACGGAGTAACCTCGAATTCTTATCGTTTATCTTTTTGACATTTCTATCTATAAAGAATTAATTTTGCTAGCTTCTACTTACTCTATTTAATTGAGGTGAATCAAATCCAGACGACATAAACATGACTAGTTCGCAAATTTTTTGAACTGGTGATCCGTCTGTACATAATAAGCCTTTTATTCTTGATCCTAACCAATTATACCTCATAAGCTCGTATTGGTTTTTAAGTAAAACCTAAAATACAAATTTAAAAAACTCAAAAGTCGGTTTTTAGGGTGTGTAAAAAGGGAAACTCAACAAGAAGCTATTTTGGAAGATAATTTTAAATGGGATCATTTGAAAGCTTTGACACTACTATTTTCGTTTAAAATTAAAGTTTTTTTATGGATTTAAATTTCTAACATTTACGGTTTAAAAAATAAATGGGGGGAAGGACTTTAGAAGCAAATAAATCTAGGGTTGACGAGAAGCGAAATTATCATTAAAAACAAGAAACGAGGTAATACCGATAATGCTGCAGTAATAGAAATAAAGAGGAATGGTTGAGTTTCCTATGTTGAGAGTGCAAAGTAGAAAATTTGGTAATGAATGTCAGCTTTGGAGACATGAACTTTGTGTGTTAATGTTTAAAGTGATACATGCTACAAAAAAATATAACAAACCTCGACTTTGTCTTGATATTTTTGTAATAGTCGAAAGACCGGTGAAGCCATATGTTTTACGTAAACCACTGGGGCCAGAGCTGACATTAGCGCTATTTTCTCATTGTATTCCGGTCGTAAAGCTGCCATTGCAAAAAATTGAGTTGTCCCTTGTGAGTGTCCCACATAAAAAATCTTTTGTTGACCAGTGTTTTTGATTATATAATCTATTTTTGCAGGAATGTCGTATTGACCACATTTCTCATAACTGAAACGTAATGTAAGTAATACTGATTATACTTGAGAACGGAGAATCTTATTTTGGGTTTTGAGCGAATTTAAAGCAAATAAATTTTGTTTTGAGGTCTGCTCCATTAGAGAGAAGTTTTGCTGTGTCACAGCAGTATGTGCGTAAGTGTCGTCATCGTCAGCGGCATATTGTACTTTGTAAATTAACACAAAGTTCTTTTTTCCTTCCTTTTTTTACTTAAAGTTTCGTTTTTGTGTAAAAACATTTTGAATATGAGAGAGCAAATTATAGATTAAGAGTATTAAGAGGACACTATAGATGA